GTGGTGTAGTGAGGTGGCATTGATATAAATAATTAATGTATATTATATTATATTTTAATATTTAATAAATTTATTTAGCACCTGATTTTTGAAATATTTTAATAAGTTTGTTATTTATGAAATGTGAACTTTAAAAATAGGAACTATGTATTGTTCCCATGTTAAAGCTTCATAGGTTAGGCCATATTTTGGAGTGGGCCAAAAAAGTGCAAAAAAGAAATGAATTCATTAATCAAATATAAGCAAATTATAAGATTAATACATATACTTCAAACCAAACTCAAACTTCAGGAGTTCCTTTTGAGGGTCCAATCGGTTATAGAATTTTTATGGATAACATTTTATTGATGGGTGGACGATTGGATACACAAGCTAACATCTGCAACAAGCTTACTCCAAACATGGTTCAGCAATATGAAATTCTGAATTTTGAAGTTGAACCAAACTTTCACCTTGATGATAAGGTGGATTTAGGGGCGGCGGGCAATGATAGACTCCCATCAATGTGGAAGGACCTAGAAGAATTGAGAAGCTTATTCAGTTAGAAACAGATTCAGTTAGGGGCAAGGGTATTGCCGAGAATAGGACGAAATAAGTTGCCTATATGTGTAATAAGGGGAATGTGGGATAGTCATTCAGTGAGTAGTGGTTGATTTAGGGGGAGAGATTTAAGCCTCTCGAATGCTTGGAATTGTTACTTACTTTAGTTTCCATTTCAATGAATAACCAATCAGTATTATGTTGAATTCTCAATACAAATATCAACCTGCAGCATAATTACAACCTATCCACCAGTAGGCAAAGCAGTATCTCCAAAAGCAGAGCAAACCATCATTTGAATCACAGCAGCCAGGGATCCTATCAGACTCCTTCGACTGACTTGTAACCACAAAACGAAGCCAAAAGCACATGAGCGCATATTCTAAATTCCAAGGACTGTGATTACTCACTTTAAAAATTTTAGCACTTCACTTGTATGTTGTAACCATAGATCCATGAGGTGAACAATTCTTTGACATCTACAATAAATAAAATTTAAGAAAGGAAATGTCGAAGCAACTTTAACAACTACTACAGCTGATATTCGACTACTCGTGCAATCAAACTCCATATCCTTGCATTGGTTAAGGAAAACTGACAAGTCATACTAGTTAAGTTCCCTTAACCTGTTGTCTTATAATTCATAATTCACCCAATTTTCACCAAGGTTCCTATTCTCAGGGGATGAAGAAGGCAAAAGGAGGAAATAAATAATCAACCCACTCAAAGAGATTATGGTCATAATGTATTGTCTCCAACAAGGTTTTGAATTTTCCCATGTACTGTTATTTACTTCCTTGCCTGTGCCACCATGCGGTCATGTATTTTAAACTGCTATTCAGCAGCATTCACTATCAAAGACATCAATTTACATCTACACAATTTGATCCATCTAAAGTATAAATAATATAAATCAAAAACATCTTGAAACAAGAAAAATGGAACTCAATAGTTTTGAAGTGGTTTGTTCAAAAGTGTTTCAATACATAATTACAAAATGCCAGCAAAATCAAGTAACTTAATCACTAAAATCACTTCACAAAGAACAAAACTTCATAGCAAAAAAAGAGTAGAACAACACACAACTAAAAGCATACACTTAATCATAACAATGCACATAATTTTTTAAACTGCAATTCGAAGGTTAAAATCACTGGAATCGATGAGCCAAGCGTGGGAATGACAAATCCTGCCCTTTCTCGAGCTTTGTGATCTAAAACCTCCAATTTAAACAGAATTGTCTCAAGCTTGCATCAACAATCAACATCGTGACTACAAGTAGTAGAATAAAAAATTTAAGAATAAATCCAAATGTCATAAAGAGCCTCCTCTTTGGGCACAGTAAGCATGAACTATAACTATATAATGCGGGACAGAGATTGGACAAAAAGGCACCTTAATACGCAACAATAGGTAGACTTTATAGAATCAAAGTTCCATAAAGTTCCAGTAGGAGCTGAAGCAAAGTCTTAACTTTCCAACAGGTACTAACATAGCTTGAAAAAGATTCAATAATTCCATCATGCTATCAGTTCAAGAATGCTTCTGCCACCGTAGTAGTGAATTACTGATTAATATGAATGTCATAAATCAAGATATGCGAGCATATCAGAACAATTTACTCGCCTTTTGAGTTAGATATTAGATTTCATCACTTCCATGGCAAAAGAGAGACAACTAAGTAACAATTTCATGTACCTTCAAATCTAAAATTAGAACCATGAACTGATTTCCAGACAATGAAGACATAACAGCTATTGATAAAATAGGATTTAACACTTCGAAGGTTAGCAAAGGAAGAAGAAAAAAGATGAAGAACGATATCAAAGACAATTTTATTACACAAAGACTTATACAAGATAGAGAGAATATTACTTTTCAGCTGCAAGAGTTTTTCTTTCTTTGTTTAACTCTTGAAGCCAATCTTCATCCTCATTGTCAAGATCGTACTCAACAAATTCTCCAATCTCAGCACGGCCTGCCAATAATATGACAAAATTTTAAGACGTGATTGCAACAAAAATGTAGCAATTAATCAGCAGCCTATTTAGAGTGCGTTTGGTATAGATTTTTATAGATTATAAATTGTGGATCCTACTGAGGGTGTGGATAGTAAGTGTAGTAGTTGTGAGTCCAAAAAAATGTGTAGACAAAGAGTATATCTGTCAAAGATGAACTTAATTGTCTCACCTCCCCTTGCGCGAAGATATGATGTTGGTTGAGTGAAAGTACGGGAATAGTCTCTTCCAATTGTATCCACTACCACGACTTCAAGAGTTGGTATTTCTGAAGCAACTTTTTTGCTAGGAGTTTGTTGTACCTTAAGAAAAACTGATCATGAAATTAGTTAACCTACGAATAGCATGATTCGCAACTAAGTAAGTACATCTGCCGAATTGTACTACATCATTTAAATGGCATGTACAGGTCTTATAACATGATAGGAAGTAAATACTCTCTGTTTCACATAGATATTTACGGTCTCATGGAAGTAGTATGCATGAAAACTTTAGCAACAAGAGAACGCGACTTGTGACCGGTAGAAGGCTTCAGAATGGAAAACAAAAAATTTGTGATACTTTTAGGCCACAACAGGGTCAACAATATTACAGATAAAGAACCCCTATTCCCACATCTGGATGATATTAGGATAAAAAGATGCTAGAAGAACACAATTTTAAAATTAGTTTCCACTGAAGTTCAGTTAGTAAATGCATGCAATTACAAATACCTATTGTTTGTTTTATTTTACAAGGCATTTTCCTCAGTTATACCTACGTCCTTGATAACCTATTAACACATCCTCGTTATTATGAACTATAAGTACCAATCATATAAATTACAAAGTCTGCATTTGGATGTAAGTTGCATGAATATTAGCAAGTAGGTTGATGCCCTCTTTTCTCTCTCTTTTTTTCTATACATTGTGAAGTAAATCAAATACTTCGCTGCAATTATGATAAAATAACTTGAAGAAATTTTTGAAAATTTATTTCCACCATTTAGCAAAGCAACAGGATATATAAGCAAAAAATAATTAAATCATTCATATTTCAAAAAATCCAACAATTATTTCAGAGACAAAAGCAAATTTCAGAAAATGACAGCCTTTTCCCACTCAGAATTACTACGAAAAACACCATGCGCCATTCTGGCATCCTGGTTGCCTAAAAGCTTCTTTATTTCTCGTGGGGGACAGATAGAGGGCATAGAGCTGATAAGCTGACTTCAAAGGAATTGGGGAAAAGTGGAAAGAAGAATCAATCTTAAATAAAAAAGAGTAGGATTGGACCCTTTGATTCAGTAACGTGCAAATCCAGTTGATTTCCCCGTGTGAAATTATACAGAAGCCTAACTAAATAAGTAATAGTTGGGATGACTTGGTCTATGTTGTTCTTAGCCATTGGAGGTAAAATGATAATATGTTATTGCCACAGTCATACTGAAGGATCATAGGATAATAAGATTTAATGCAGAAGGCTTGCCTTGAGAAGCAACCAAATGCACAATAATAATTATATATCTGTTTAATGCAATATACGTTCTTCAAGTGGCAATACGAAAGAAATTGATTTTTAAAAGGAAAAAAAACATCGAGCAAATAAATGTTATACTTCAGATACCATGTGTATACTTAGGGGGGAAAAAGAAAGCAATATAGTCAATGTGAAGTAAATTTTATATTGTGCTCCAAGTAAATACCTCACCTCATTATCAGCCTCTGAGGCAATACGGAGCATCTGGGAGTTACGAGTAGAAGTCGGGACATCGTCATCCTCGAAGTCCTTAACAGATTTCACAATGGGGAGCTTCTCGTGGATGTCAAGGGGTTGAGGCCTAAATGATAGCCTACTCATAGCATCAGCTCATGTCCCAACTCAATCAACCACTCTTTCTCTGTTTGCAAACTTTAGTCCTTGGTCTACAATATCACATTTGAAAATTGAACTCTAAACAAAGTAAATAAAAGAAAATCGAATATAGTTGGAAATATTAAGCAATTCATGGGCAAACAAAATCAGTGCAATTGGAATATTGGATGCGTATTTTGTTGCTACAAAACCCGAAATGCTTTTTAATTTAAATTGAACGTTCACGCCTGAGGGTGATACCAAACCCTAGGATTAAACTTACAAGCGCACATTTGTACAAAAGTAAAATTTATGAGACCACCAGAAAAAGAGGGGTCTAATAGTGTGAGATGTGTTTCGATGTCGATGAATAATTGCTTAGAGAGATAAAATTAGGTTTTGCAGTCCTGCCGAATTAGGGTTGAGGGGTTGACGATGGAAATTAGGAACCCGGACAGCTCCAAACCCGGATAACTGGTTATGGCCGATGGACTCGATTCTAAGGGCATGCTTTTTTGTTGGGGGTGCAAGCGGTCCGATTTTACCTATTTTTGACAAATTTTTAAATCAAATCGTTTAAATCGGTTTGATAAAAATCGAAACCTAAATCAAATCATTTTGAACAGTTTGAAAAAACTTAAACCTAAACCTAACGGTTTGGTCCAATTTTAAACCGTCGGTTTCGCCATATATTTCTTTGTCAGTCTACTTTTATGACATTAATTCATTGAATTCAATATATATTTATATTTCACTAGCAATAAATCTAAAACAAATTAAGGGTGTGTTTGTCTCCCATTATTGGGAGAAAAATAGAGTAATGAATAATATTTTTTGGAGAATGTGTGGTTGAAATTTAAAGTAACTTTATTGGTTTGTGTGTAGAATATTTTATTGGGTGAATGTGTGGTGGAGAATCTTACTTTAGCAAACAATTTTTTGGAATAATGGTA